TTTTCTATCTATGTCCTAGACCCAGTGTTTCATGTTTGTTGAGGTGAACTGAGGACACATAATCACCTTGCCAACAAAGGTCCATATACTCAAAGCTATGATTTTTCCAGTAGCAACATATGGTTGTGAGAAATGGACTAGAAGGAAAGCTGAGCCCCACAGAATCGATGCTTTTGAACTGTAGTGCTGGAAAAGGCTTTTGAGAGGCCCTTGGACAGCAAGGAGATCAAAGCAGTCAATCCTTAAAGAAATTAATTCAGGCTATTCACTGGAAGATCAAATACTGAAGCTGAAGCTTAAATACTTGGGCCACATAATGAGAAGATAAGACTCATAACAAAAGATCCTGATGTTGGGAAAGACTGAAGACAAAAGGGGACAGCAGAGGGTAAGATGGACAGATAGTGTCATGGAAACAATGAACACAAACTTGAACAGATTTTGAGAGATAATGGAGGATAGAAGGGCCTGATGTGCTATGGTCTGTGGTATCATGAAGACTCAGACAAAACTGAAGGACCAAATAACAATAACGAACATAAATATAATTCAAATTAGAATGTAAATGCATAAGAGGACTTCAAAATCCTATGCAGTCAGATGTTGGAGAGAGCATTTTCCCATACTAGTAGACAGAGTGGTGCATCTAGGGATATATCTGACTGAAGAAATATGAGGTAGATAGTTGGGAATTGATAGGGTGACAAGGTCTCTGAGGGGCAGAGGTGGGGGAGGTAAATCATAGGGAGGAGGTAGGTCCATGCAAAGTCTCAGGGGAAGGATATGTATCTTACCCCGGTCCTGGGCTCCATGAAGCCCAACCTCAGTAATCTCTTTGCACCAAGCCTGTATCTCAGGATCATTTTCCACAGCCTCATCCCCTGCATAGTAGAGATGGACTATCCCCACCACATACCTGCCCACCAAGGGAAAATACAGCCAGGTTAATTGTGGATGTAGGACTGGGGGAGCTCCAATTCCAAACCTCTCTTCCTACAGATATATTCCAGTTCATCCCTCTTTGGCTCCTCAGAGATGCAGATCTTTGACCAGAAAGGTTTACCTTTTGATGATGTCCCAGAGCCGGAGGGCATCGTGAGCATGGTACCCCGATCAGCCAGGTCATTGGGTGGACAGAGTGATCTATAGGTCAGACTGTTCCCTGCTTTCTGGAGTACAGTGACATGTCCTCCGCCACCAGTGCTCACTACCTGAGGAAAGGGTGAGGATGAGCCTGAGGCCGTGAGTGATAAATCGAGAGGAGATTATTGATTAAGCTCTGGTTAGGGGGTTCTTTAACCATCAGAAAGTCATGGAAAATCCTTTGAAAAGGATTCAAATTCAAACAAGAAGGAATCTTAAGATGAGCAGAAAGGAAAGAAGCCTGGAGTGGGTATTGACTAAACCAGAGTCGATTGGGGGAGCATCCCTCAATTCATTGGACACTGGAGTTCAGAAGAACATCAGCCTCTTTGGAGTTTTCCCATTGTGTCCCCAAAGTATAGACTGAGTCCTCAATATCACTTCAACATAGATTTCCCTTAACTCACACTTCAGGATTTAATGCAAACACTCTAGTTTGCAAAGAAAAAGTGGAAGAGAAAAAACTTGTTTCCCCCACACACACCTTGTCCTCTGCACCCCCTCTTACCTGGTCAAATAATTCCCCATTCTTCCTCATACCTGGTCAAATACTCCCCCCTTAGAGACAAGCCCTGTCCGGGCTCTGATGTTGATCTCCATGGTGTAATGAAGGTGAGGGATCAGGATCTATTTATGCAAAAAGGGTGCATGTTAACAGAGAAGAGGGGAGGATATTTAGGTCCAAGAGGAGAAACCGAGGCAGATAGAAGGGGTACTCTCTTTCAGAGAAATGATTTATGATAACATGGACAAAATCTCTCAAGGAATCTTTAGGGCCAAAGAATCTAGGTTTATTTGCATGGTCCTTTTTGATTGTTTTCAAAAAATCTTTTTTTTGGTTTTAATTGCCCAGGCTTCCAAGCTCATTTAAAATATGTCCATTTCATTTTTCCATGTATCACTAGAATCAGGTGAGACAAACCCACCTAATTCCACCTTCTGTTGTTTGCTTATCTCCCCCCTCTCCCCAACATCCCTCTTTTCCTTTGTACAGCCCCCACTGGAAACTGTATGATCAAAAAAATTAGAAGCTTTTAGAACGGAAAGGGATGGCAGGAGACATCTAGTTCAACCTTCTCAAACATTAGCTTCCTTCTCTGGGCCTCAGTTTTCTCACTTCTCCTTCCTCACTTCCAAGTGAAGAAAAAGGAAGATGAGTAAGGCTTCCCAGAGAAGGAAGCCTATGTCTCTTTTCTGCCATTTCCATGGTTCCTTCTAATCTCATAGAGAGTATCTAAAAACGTTTATTGTTCATTTATTTATACAAGATGCAGCATTACATCGTGGATAGAGATCCCATCCAGAGATGGGGACAAGCCCTGCCTTTGATCAGGCCTGGTTGTGTGACTCTAGGTGAGTCGTAGCCTCTCTGTGGCCCAGGAACCCCTGGGTAAGTTTACAAGTGGGACAGCTGGTGTTGATCTGCACCTTGCCTTCTGCAGAGCTTCCTAACACCAGTGGTCTCCACATTTTTTTTGACCTTGCGTGTGTGGGTAAAACATTTTTTGAGCCAGCACTCGCTGGTTCCTGCAGTGTTCAGCTTAAGTACCACCTTCTGCAGGAAGCCTTTCCTGATCCCCTCCTCCCCGAAGCTGCTAGTGCCCTCTCCCAAGTTATTTTGTACTTGATTGTATAAACCTATATGTGTACATGTTGTCTCTTTCTCTTTCTCTCTCCCCCTAAGCTGTAATCTCCTCAAGGGCAAGGATTGTTTCACTTTGGTCTTCATATTATTAGTGCAGAACACAAATGTCTGGAACACAGCAGACAATAATTGATTGAGTGTTACCTCGTACCAGCCCACTGGGTCCTGCAGCTTGGCCATTGCTGCCTCCTCTGCCACTATCCTCTCATGGCTCTGAAGGTCTCTCCGCCTTCATCTGTTTCCATCACTACCACTACCGCCCAGCCCTTGGAGGTGAGGTAGAGAGGAAGAAGAGAACCAGCAGCCCTAACAGATAGGCCTCCTGAGTCACAACCATCTCCTTGACCATCCTTGTGCTGATGTTGTCACCCCTGGTCAGTTGGGTCTAGGGTCTGGTAGGGTTGTTGCCACTCACTACCCAGGCCCCTCAATCAGCCTCAGTCTTTCTCTGATGCCAGTGCTACAGCCTTTGGAGGGAGGTGGCATAAGAGAGGGAGCAGAGGCCACCCAGATAAAGTGTCATCTGCCAGAAACCTGCTGTGGAGGACATGGGAGACTTTTCTTTCCAAATCCTCAACAGTCATCTTATATACACCATGTGCTGTGTGGGCCTTCACTTTGGAAATGACCACCCTATACTAATGAAATGATAAGTATTATTCAAAACAAAGCAGAACAAAATAAAACAACAAAAACCACAAGGTTCAGATAAATATCTCCAACCTTTTGTTTGCATACTGATTAAATGAACCTCCTCATAAACTGAGAAGATGCATATCAAATGCTTGCCCTCTCCACCTAAATTTGTGAAACCAGGCAGTATCCCCTGAGTGTTGCATGAAGGTGAGATACCTTGAAGATGGGATGCAGTGTTGGGAGGCATCTCATGGTGGCCACAGAGATTGCCTCAGCCATCAGATGTCCTCTCAGCAGATGGTACTGTAGTTGGTGAAGCTGGAAGTCTGAGCTTCTGACCCAGGCTTTGGCGAGGAGCCATGCCATGGGCGGATCAGAGGGCAGGAACACCGGTGGTGTTGGGGTGCTCAAGGAGGGTGCCTGGATCTAGAACAGAAGGAATATCCTAGGTGCCTGGGTCTCTGAAGTGATGGAGGTGGAGGAAAAGAGGGGATGAATGACCATTGTGTGTGTATGTGGCTGTGAAAATGGGCCAGGTGTTTGAGGTCACCATGGGATCTAACTTCATCGGAGCCTTTATCTCTATTCAGCAGTCATTTTATTTAGCTCTTGTGCATTGGCTAAGGCATTCTACATGCTGGCTATTACATATTTTTCCCCCTCTCTTCAAGCCTCCCATCTTCTCCTTGATCTACTCCCCCAATTTAAGGTGCAAATCAAAGCCAGTCCATTGTGCAGCTCCTCATTTATCTGAAAATCTCTTTATATTTTTGCCCATCTTTTCCTCCTTCCTTCCTTTCCTAGAAAAAGAAGAAATTCTCCTCCAGATCTAACTAAACCCTTCCCATGTGACCTTGATCCCATCTCTCTCTGCCTCTTTAAAGGCATTTCGTGGTGCCCAAAGACAGGATGGTTTAGCCAACAGAGTTGGCTTCAAAGCTAGGAAGGCTGAATTAGTTGAATTCTGCCTAGGGGTACATACTGACCCTGAGCAAGTCATTTAACTTAATTTAATCTCTCTAATCTTCTAACTATAAGTTTCAGAGAAGGTACTCATTTATATTGGTAGAAGGAGTTTCTTTGCCTGGGACATCCCTATATTAGTGAAATCACAGATCTGGTCCTTATCTCTATTTTCTCTTTTTCCACTGGCTTCTTCCCCTCTGCTTATAAGCAGACTTGATACAGTGGAAATGGAAAGAGAGCTGGCTTTGAAATCAGAGAACCTGAGTTCAAATCCAGCCTCTGTCACTCAGTTTCCTCATCTGCAAAATGAAAGCATTGGACTAGATGATCTAACAGGACCTTTCCAGTACCTTTCCAGTTCTGAATCTATGATCCTGGGACCTTTCCTACACTCTAGTGATCTATGCAAGTAAAGGTTTATTGGAAATGGTATTAAAGGGTAGGATGGGAGAATTGCTTGCTGTCTCTGTGAAGGGATGTCTGGGCCTTCTTACTTGGATGGCCATGGGCAGCAGTTTCCCATCCGGCTCCAACTTCAGCATGACCAGGGGAGCTGCCAGGTACTGCTGGCAGCAGAGGATTACATTGCCCTGAATCCCATCCAGGAGAGAGAAGTCAGCTTCAAAGAGTGAGCCTTCCTGTTGGTGATAGAGAAGGGAGGAGGGAAAGGTGGAAGTTGAAGAGTGAGCACTGGAATCTTCTAGTCCTGCTTCACAGGAGCCCTCTCTGATCAACTCTTCCTCCTCAGAACCCAGCCTCTCATTTCAAACATAACCCGTTTCCACCTCCAGTTACCAAGGCCCTAGTTTGCTCTCTGCATTTGGTCTCCTGAGTAGGGATCTTGTCTCCTCCATCAAATAGTGGGCTTATTTTCTTCCTCTGGGTCCTGGACCAATTCCAAGGACTTTATGGCCACTATGACCACCAAATGCAGATTTCACAGGCTCCGTAGTTCTTCCTGCCATCATTTCCACGGACTCAATGTATCTCCATTTCTGGTTCCTCTGCTTTATCTTCCAGAATTATAGGATCCCAGCATCAGAAGGGACCCAAAAGGCTGTCAGCAATTTATACCTGACCTTTACAATCTCCCCCAAAGTGGTCATTTGTAGCCTTCATTTCAAGTTTGAGGAAAAACCACTATCTTCCCATGGTCACCCATTTCACATTGGGATATCTCTGTTAGGAATTTTTTCTCCCTTACATTGGGCTTAAATCTGACTCTCTGCCACTTCATCTGTTTTGCCCTTTGGTGACAAATGGAACAACTCTTAATACCTCTTCCAAATTTCCATATTAAAATATCTGAAGACACCAAACATGTCTCTCTCCCCCAGGCTAAACATCCCTAGTTTGGGGTCCAGTCCTTAAATGGCATGATCTTCAGACCCTTCATCAAATTGGTGGCCTAACTCTATCCCTTCCAGTTTAGCAATTTCCTCCCTAAAATATAGTACTCAGAATTCAACAGAATAGTTTAAATGAATAGCCTGACCAGAAGAGAGTTCAGGGAACCCTTATCTTACATGTTTTGATACAGCCTAAGGGTGAATTAGCTTTTTTTGGTTGCTTGTCATGACAGGATCATGTTAGTTATTCCTTCTAGCTTTGGTCATCATTGAGCATGTATTGCATACCTACTATGTGCCAGGCACTTCGCTAGGCACTAAGGATATAAAAACAATACTGAAATAATTCCTATCTTCAAGAAACTTTTGTTCTACTGAAACAACATATAAATTTAAAAGTACATTTTTATATGTTAGTATTATTATATGTCTCTCTCTCTCTCTCTCTCTCTCTCACACACACACACACACACACACACACACACACACACGTACATATTTGGGGGCAGGGGAGTACTAACAATTGCAGGGATCAGAAAGGTCTTCATGGAGAAGGTCTTGTTTGAGCTTGAAGCCTTGAAGGAAAATGGGGATTCTAAGAGGCAGAGGTAAAGAGGGTGTGCCTCCTAGGCCTGGATGTGAAGACAGGAAATGGAGTATCCCATGCAGATTAGAGAAGCATGCTATCAGTGCTTTCAACTAAGTCACTGGTAAAGCTGTTAAATAGCACTGGGTCAAAGACAGTCCTTGGGGACACCCCACAGAGACAACTTCACTCCTAGAGTTAACACTGACCCAATTAATAACTCTTCTTGGGTGAAGTTATTCAAGCATTTACAAACCCACCTACCTGACCTGTACTATTTTCTAGCCCCCTCTCTTTTTATCTTGTCTGTAAGGATAACATGAAAGACTCCATCCATTGTCACCTTCAAACTCATCTACTTCATAGAGTTTAAAAGTTTTACTAACTGAGATCCCAGAAGCATAGGCTTTTCCTTTTTATTTCACAGCAGTAGAAGAGAGGGTTAATATTATGGACTGTCTATAATGAAAGTATGATAAAAGAAGGTAAGTACTTGGAGATGGCTTTCTAGCTCTGCTTGAAGCTCCTCTGAGCCGACAGGCAGCTTCAGTCGGGTTGGGAGTTCAGTAGATCGTCTCAGGATCATGGGGTTAGCACCATTTAGGAACTGGTACCCAAAGAATGCATCATCCTTCCAGGAATCCCAAACCTTCTCTGTGGAGTTAAGTTGGAGAGATGACTTGGAGCCCCTCACAGCCCAGCTCTTCACCTCAGCCCCTAGGCTTCCTTTTTTTGGGGGTGGAGAGCATGGATTTGTAATTAGAAGATCCTAGCTATGCCATTTCCTGGTGTTGTGACCTTGAGCAAGTAAGTCACATTCCCTCTTTGGGCCCCTCTTTCTTTCTCTATAAAAAGAAGTGGTTCCACTAAATTAGCTGTAGGGTGTCCATCAGCTTTAAATTCCTTTATGATTTCTGTAGCTCTGTGTAAGAGTCAATGCAAGACTTAGAATGAGCCTTGTGTCAAATGTATGTTTAAATCTGAGCCCTTGGAGATTAAGCACAAATAATGTCAATTCTTTGGGTAAGAGTGTTTTCAGTCAGGATGGCATAATAAAAAGAACACTGGATTTGGAGTCAGGAGGCCTGTCACTTTTTGACTGTGAGCTAGTCATATCACATCTCTGGGCCATCACTTATAGATGATAAGTAATTGTCTATAATAAGAATAGTAAGACTTGCCCTGTCCTGCCCACTTCACAAAGTTATTTTAAGGATCGATTGAAACAATTCATGTAAAAATGCTTGGCAAATTGAAATGATGATGATGATGTGGAATTCATAAGGAGGAAGTGGTAGGTGTCACTGACCTGCCAGCCTACTCTGACCAGCCCAGACAATTCGGTTGAAATCTTCCAGGCTCTTCCAGGAACTCAGGATGTTTAAAGTGTCCTTGATGGCAAGGTCTTTAAGCCTGGGGTGGGGATGGGGGAGAAGAGGATGAGGGAAGGATCAAGGAAGGATAGCACCTCCTCTTCTTGATAATGAGCATATCTAGAACCCAGCTTTCTCCCAACCAGGCTTACATCACCAACCCAGACACCCATGGCTTCCATCTCACTCACCCCATGGCCAGGGAGCACTCAGAGTCAATTCTCTTGTCTTCATGAAATCTCTCATCCAAAGGAAGATCAGACAGAGTAGCCCCAGAGACTGGCCGGATTACATTATCCTTCCAGGAGTGCCAACTGTGGTGGTTGAGGTGGGGATATGGATTTAAAGGTTAAGGTTTGGAAAAGGGGCTAATTGGGTGGTTAGGCTCTAATAGGTTAGGATTGAGGTTTGTTTAGGAATAGCAGTGATTAGTCAGGAGTGAGAGGCCAGAGTAGGGAAGGATCTCTTTGTCTAAGGGGACAGGATCAAGCCTAAATGGGTTGGGGGTGGGGAATTTGAGAAGGGAGCTAAGGACTGAAAAGAGTAGGGAAAAGGTCTTTGATGGGAGGATGAAGTTTCAAAGACCGCAGCTGAAGAGGCTGCCCTTTCTCACCTGTACTGCTTCCTTCTCTCCTTTAGCTCTTCCTCTCTGTAGGTCTTGAAGAATCCCTGGGGGTCATCCCTGACTGTCCGGGCTTAGGGGACAAAGGAAAGTCTTCACTTAACATCCTTTCTTGACCCAGATGTTAGGCTTCCTCTCCAGTCTTCTCCCGCCCCCTCTTTCCCTTCTCCTCCTGCCTGTCCACCCACGGCTCCGAACATCTCACAATTCCAGATATCTCCCCTATTGCCCTCAACAGCTTCTTCATCTCTTCCCAATCCAATCCAGTTCCTCTTAATAAATGCCTACTAGGTGCGGAGACAGTGTGCTTGGCACCCGGGATACAAAGAGGATTAAGAGACTCAGACCCTGCTTCGAGAAGTTTGGGGGACATTTTAGAATATGGAGTGTGATAGAAGCAAAGGAAAGATGCAGAGAAAGCTCCGTAGGAGTCTAAGGTGGCAAAATACCTATCTTTCATGTTATCGCTAGTGGCCTCAATCGGTAGAAAAGGATCTGAGCCACGTCTTGGAAAAGAATTTCCCAGGCAGGTGTTGGCAGTTTTACATAAAAGCCTAAGAGCAGGAAAGGCAGGCCTAGATTGGAGAACTTTGTATAGTGTACATGAAAGGGAGTAAGGCGAAAAGCAAAACCAGGCTGGAGAGGTTGGTTGGCGGTCTCCATCCTGCCCCTCCCTCACCAGTGCCTTCGGGGAGGCAGACGATGCCTTCACCCAGCACCCAGCGATAGCACGGTGCTATCCACTCCGTTGGGGCTTTGCACGGTGATTCGGTTGCAAAACCAGTTGTCTTCCGTGAGGAGGCGACGTTTGTACACCTTCACGAACAGGAGGGGACCCAGGATCTTCGAGACTTCTGCATTAAATTCCTTTACCTGAGGTGGGTAAGGCAGGGAAGGGTCGATACGAAGCACGACACACGGAAGTTGAGTCCCAGGGTAGGAATCTCATACCCCCCAACCGGCTACTCTTGTCTCCCTGGTTCTAGCGAAGTAATGAAGGGATTGGGTTGGGTGGGTTTTGGGTGAGATTTGAGAGGGAAAGGGGGGGGAATTCAATTCAGGAAACAAGTAGTAAGCTGTGGTAGGCTCTGGGGGTACAAAAACTAAAAAGAAAGGGAGGGAGCTGGTCTCTCTTTTCTCCGAACAAAACTGGGGAAGAGCCGGGACGCCAAGGACTCCGGTGGCATCTTCGAGGGTCAGCTGAGGAACTTTAAAACAAAATAGGGCTGCAATGGCCTCGGGAGAAGCGATACCCCAAATCAACGCGCGGCGGGCGTGTTTATATGTGTAGCTGAATCAAAAGGAGGAAGCTTGAGTCCAGGGAGTGGGAGAAAATCTAACTGCTCTCCTTGATCCCTTCTTCCCTAGTCTCTGAATAAGGGCAGTATAACAGATCTCTCATCTCTCAGGCTTCCTCTTCCCTGCTCCGCACTACCCTACTCCGAATTTCAAATGCCATAAGTCTGGGGTCACCCCAGGCGCTCCCTGACTCAGCTGCTAACTAGTGAAATCTCTGGGAGACGGGAAGGGTAGCAGAGCGCAGCATCCAGAGTTAACACCCAACACTCCTCCACCCGCCCCAGGAGGGAAGACAGAGTCCAGTTAAGCCTCAAATGGGGAAGAGAGATAGGTAGAGATGAAAAGACGAAGGGAGGGTTATGATGTAGAGAAAGATGGAGAGGTAGAGATGATGGAAAATGTAGATAGATATGGAAAGACCAGGATAGAAATTAGATGAGTAGAGAAGAAGATGGAGACAGGAATGAGAGAATGAGAAAATTATGTAGCAATAGGAGTGGTGAATAGGGGATGCGGGATCCTTGGACACCAGTGTGCAGGGGCAATTGGCCGCCCATCTACTGTCAGGGAAAGACATCTGGCTGGAGGAAGAAGCAAAAGGGTGATCTGGTGTTTCGACGCTGTGTAGATAGTTTGGTTTGGGAGAGAAAGGGGAACCGTTTCTAAGAAGGTAATATTTGAAAAGCAGAAAACAGGACAAACCAAGGACACCTAGAAATTCTCCTAAACCCAAGACCCTAGAAGCTCCGGGCTCCAAATTCTTGTCCCTCTGGGATCCAGGCATTCCCGGTTCTTGGAATCTGATTTGGAAACCACCTCTTCCCATTCTCTAGCGTCGCAAAAAGGGTCTTTGGATCGCCACTGCCCGCGTCTCCCCAGATCTCATTGACCTTTCCCCGAGACGGTCGCAACCGCAGCTCCAGCGCCTCCTCCCCGTGCTCTCCGACTAGCCACAGCTGAACCTGATTGTTAGACCCCGCGAAGACAGAGCTCCCAGTTTCCACACCAACACGATAGCGGCCCATAGTGTCAGGAGAGACGGACGAGTTACTGCGGTGAAGGAGGGAGAGAAGCGGCTATTTAATAGGTTGGGACCCGGCTGGGCGGAGCCCAGAAGACTCTACTGGACAAATGAGGGACCCTCAACCCCAGAGTTCCCTCTCCAAAAAAGTGTTGCCAGCTAAACCTTGGAGAGCGAGGCTCAGAGTCAAGCACCCAGTGACACATCCCCATCTACACTGTTCCAACCTGGGCCTTGCTCCCTCCATCACAATTTCTAACCCTTGAATCCTTTACCACTGCGGGAAGAGAGAGAAGAGGAAAACGAAGTGAAGCGAGGGATGGGGAGGTTGAAAGATTCTAGAGAGGAAAAGGAAAAAAAAAAGGGAAGGGGGAGAAGAGGGAGGGAAAGAAAATCGGGGAATGATAGGCAGAGGGAGAAGACAGATGGATTAGAAAGAGATGAAGAGGAAGGAAAGAGATGAGGAGTAGGGGAAGGAAAAAGCAAAGGCTAGAGAAGGAAAGGAGAGACATGAGGGAGAGGTGGTTAGAGAACTAGGGAGAGATAAAGGGAGACGAAAGGAGAGAGGGAGATGGAGAAGTGAAGGGGAACAGAGGAGAGGGAGAAAGGGTTCTATAGAATCATACATCTAGAGGGGGAAGAGACCTCAGAGGCCATCTAATGCATTACTAAAGTCCCAAAGCCCAGAGATGTTAAGGAAAGGAAGGTCAATCAATGAACAAATATTTATTTAGCACCTACTATAAGCCAAGCACTAGGGATACAAAAAGATGCAATGAGGGGGTTGGGAGGAGATTGAGAAAAAGGCAGGGATGAAGTTGGGTAAAGACAGAAGGGATAACTACATATCTATTCTGATATCTATCTTAACCAAAAATCAGTATACGTGATCTGACAAGAACATTCCTTTTTCAAGTCTTGTTAAAAGTGTCATTTATTTTTCAAAATTGATCTGTTTGGAGGAAATCTGGGAAACATGGTCATCATGTTTTTTTTACCCAGTTCATCAAATCTTGGTAATCCTTCATGATATCATTCATATTTGTCCTTTTCTATTCCCCACAGCTAGCTCGAGTCCACACCCTCTTCCACTCATGCCAAGTTTGCTAAAATAATTGTTTGTCTTCCTTCTAGTCTCTCTTTCTTCTAATTTCTAGGACATCAGTCTTTCTAAAACATTGTTTTCTGTTTACCAGGTGGAAACTACTCTTTAGTTTTAAAGTCCCTTTACAATGTCATGCCACCCTTGTTTCCCAGTCTTCTCCCTACCCTGCCTACACACACACACACATACGCGCGCGCGTGCACACACACACACACACACACACACACCCCACCACCACCACCAACAACAATTCTGTTTCAGTAAGATAAGTCCTAGGATTGTTGTGACTTGAATGAAGAGTTAAATAACTGATGATCAGAAAATAAACTGCCATACTACTCAATCACTAAAACGATTCAGCATTGAATTAGAAGGAAGGCAGGAAACTGGAAAAAAAATTACAGCAAGTTTCTCTGATAAACGCTTTATTTCTCAAATATATAGAGAACTGAGTCAAATTTATAAGAATACAAGTCATTCCCCAACTGATAAAGTGAAAGGATAAGAACAGGCAATTTTTAAAAGAAGAAATCAAAGCTGCCTATAGCTATATGAAAACATACTCTAAATCATTACCATTTATTAGAAAAGTACATATTAAAACAACTCTGAGGTATCATCTATAAGATTGGCTAATATAACAGAAAAGGAAAATAACAGATGTTGGAAGGGATGTAGGAAAATTGGGACATTAATGAATGTACTGTTGGTGCAGTTATAAATTGATCCAACCATTCTGGAGAGCAATTTGGAACTATGCTATCAAACTGTGCATACCTTTTGACCCAGCAATACGACTATTAGGTCTTGTATCCAAGAGATTTAAAAGAAAAAGAAAAAAGACCTATATGTACAAAAATATTTATAGCAGCTCTTTTTGTTGTGGCAAAGAATTTAGGGGATGCTTATTAGCTGGGGAATGGCTGAACAAATTGTGGTATATGATTGTGATGGAATACTAATGTGTTCAGAAATGACAAGCAGGATGCTTTCAGAAAAACCTGAAAAAACGTACATGAACTGATGCAAAGTAAAGTCAGCAGACCCAGGAGAAGAGTGTATGCACAGTAACAACAATAATGTATGATGATCAACTGTGAATGATTTAGCTGTTCTCAGCAATACAATAATCCAAGACAGTTTGGGTTTTTTTTTTTTTTTAGGCAATTGGGGTTAAGTGACTTGCCCAAGGTCACACAGCTAGTGTCAAGTGTTTGGTCTGAGGTCAGATTTGAACTCAGGTCCTCTTGACTTCAGGGCTGTGAACTATCTACTGTGCCACCTAGCTGCCCCCTAAGACAGTTCTGAAGGACTTAAAAATGCTATCCATCTTCAAAGAAAGAATGAATAGAGCCTTTTTGGTTTGTGTTTTCTTTTGTAACAGCTGATATAGAAATATGTTTTGCATGACTGTACATGTATAACTTATATAAAATTACGTGACTTCTCAATGAAAGGGGGGAGAAAATTTGGAGCTCAAAATTTTATTTTATTTTTTTTTTTAAGGCAACTGGGGTTAAGTGACTTGCCCAGGGTCACACAGCTAATAAGTGTCAAGTGTTTGATCTGAGGCCAGATTTGAACTCAGGTCCTCCTGACTTCAGGGCTGGTGCTCTATCCACTGCGCCACCTAGCTGCCCTGGAGCTCAAAATTTAAAAAAAATGAACATTAAAAATAGTTTTTACATGTGCTTGAGGAAAAAAAAATTTAAATATAAGCTCATTTAAAAAAAAACTACTTGCCACTGATTAAAAAACAGAAAAGTAGATCACATTAGCTAAGCATACCTAAAAGCAATCTACTATAGTAGCTCAGAGTTTAGGTAAACCTAAATTCAAGAACACAAACTACTAAGATAAGAATTCTGTATTTGACAAGAACTTCTGAAAAAACTGGAAAACAGTTTGGCAGAAACTAGGTTTAGACCAAATCTTATAACATATACCTCAACTCCACATTAAAAAAAAAAATTAGAGGACAGTTACCTTGCACAGCTATTGCTAGGAGAGAATTTTTAACCAAACAAGGGATAGAGGTGGTCAAAAAAGATAAAATATAAAATCATGATTAAATAAAATTTAGAAGCTTTTGTGCAAACAAAATTAATGTAGCTAGAATAAGAAAAGAAACTATTAGTTCGGGAAAATCTTTATACAGGATACATAGAGTACTTTTACATAGGTAAAAATAGATAAGACCAAAATCCAGGCAGGTTTTTTTAAAAACTGATTTATTTTGAATTATCAGCAATCACTTCCATAGACTTTTGAATTTTAAATTTTTCTCCCTCTCCCTTCCCACCTCCCTCCCCAAGATGGCACACAATCTGATGTAGGCTATACATATACATTCCTATTAAACATATTTTCACATTAGTGACGTTGTAAGTAAAAATTAGAACCCAACAGGAGGAACCACCAGAAAGAGGAAACAAACACAACAGAAGAAAAAAAAACAGCAAATAGTATGCTTCAATCTGCATTCAAACTCCATAGTTCTTTCTTTGGATGTGGATAGCCTTTTCCATCATGAGGCCTTTGTAGATGTCCTTAGATCCTTATGTTACTGAGAAGGGTTAAGTCTATCAATATTAGTCATTGCGCAGTGTGGCTGTTACTGTGTACAACGTTCTCCTGGTTCTGCTCACTTCCCTCAGCATCAGATCATACAAGTTTTTCCAAGTTTTTCTGAAGTCAGCCTGTTTATCATTTCTTATAGCACAATAGTATTCCATTACATTCATATACCACAACTTGCTCAGCCATTCCCCAATTGATGGGCATCCTCTCAATTTCCAATTCTTTGCCACCACAAAAAGAGCTGCTATGAATATTTTTGTACATGTGGGTCCTTTTCCCATTTGTATGATCTCTGTGGGATATAGCCCTAGAAGTGCTATTGCTGGATCAAAGGGTATGCACATTTTTATAGCCCTTTGGGCATAGCTCCAAATTACTTTCCAAAATGGTTGGATCATTTCACAACTCTACCAACAATGCATTAGTGTTCCAATTTTCCCACATCTTCTCCAACATTTATCATTTTTCTGTTTTGTCATGTTGGCCAATCTCATAGGTGTGATATGGTACCAAGCAGTTTTTAAAAGACAAAATGTAAACTATCAACAACCATATGAAAGAACATTTGAAATAACTAATAAGAGAAATGCAAGTTAAAACAGCTCTGAGGTTTTACCTTACCTCCCTCATACTGGTAAAGATGACAGAAAGCAATGATAAATGTTGGAGGGGCTGTGGGAAGACAGAACTGAATTTTTCCATTCACTGTGGAAAACAATTTGGAATTCTACTAGAAAAGTCACTAAACTCTTTGATCCAGGGATATTACTATTACACATATATACCAAGGAGACCAAAAACTGAGGAGAAAGCCCCCATATATACAATAATATCTATTATAGCATTTTCTCTGCTAACCAAAAGTTGGAAACAAAGTTCCCAAGTACTCCACAAATAGACTTGTTAGGATAGCAAATATTTAACTTGAAGGAGAATATAGCCGGGAGTGATCAAGAGAACCTCTGATGAATTTCTCACAAACACACACCACAACCAACCTGATAAGGTCAGACAGTATGCACCTTACACTGAATTAGACATTTGACCTACTGCCTTATTGATTACATAGGTAACCGTTGGTTCCCAGTGATTGCTGCTTTGAGCATGATATGACACTCAGAATCAGGCAGGGACTTGAACTTGCTTTTAGAGATTTTCTGGATTAATACCAGTTGAGTAAATGAACCAAAGAAAGGAAACTTAACTTCCTCAATGGAAAGTCAGGCCCCCTAGGATTACTCTTGGGTCCATGTGAAGCCAGTGTCTTCATAGGAGTCCCCTGGGTTGAAGGTGACAGAAAAAATTCAGAGAAACTTGGAAAATACTTCTATACCTT